GATACGACCAAAACGTGCCTCATCCAAATAACGGTTTTAGACCCTAGGTCTATTTGGACCAAATACGTTTTAGGACATTTGGAGTCGATCTAGCGATGTCCGTCTGTCTGGCTGGTGTGCACGACAACTTTCGAAGGGATTATCCGATTTGGTCCAAACTTGGTACATCGTAATATTATTTTCAAACTTCGATCAAATTGGTACCTAACTCACAAAAGTTCGAAATTTTCAAAAACTATTTTACTGCACAGAAAGGGAAAGAATAATCCAATTTTGCTCCAACCTAGACCTAGTATTTGTATCCAAGCCAATCCTAGTATTTGCATCAGTGCTAGATCAGGTGCGTAAGTTTTGGATAATTATAACTCGTATAAAATGTGATGTAAGAGTACGACTATCTTCAAATTACACACATCCCAATATTTTTATCGACACAAGCTCTGATGTGAAGATGGAATATATCGGTCCACTCCCCCTGGTACCTCTTCCACAAAGGGTCAACAATTTGAATATCTATTAAGTTCATAAAACTCGAAATTAACACCCGATGCCATCAACATCGTGAATCTCATTATCTTTATCAACAAAAGGCATGATGTAAATATAGCATATTTCGATCCAATCTTTCTTGCAGCTATGGACCAAGTAATTGTCAAGAAAGATTTCCTAGTTTAAGTAACGGCAAGTATTCGTATTTTATCGTTTGCACATGAGGTTGTTGTGTTAGTGGAAATATTGGGATGAAGTATTGAAGAGAATTGGATGTTTTTTTTTGCATTATTGGGTGGTGTATCAAAGGGGGGGGGGGGGGGGGGGGGGGGTCGATATTGCTCATCTCCGAACTCGATCTAAGATTGATAATAAAATTACGGTACGGGTATATTAAGTCTGTCATTCCGTTTGAAACACCCCTAAATATTTCTCGTAGACCCCATAAAGTATATATATTCAGGACCAACATAAAATTCGAAGTCGATTTAGCGATGTCCCTCCCTTGAAATAACAATGCCGTCCACATTATCTGATGTAGATCTTTGAAATTTTACACAATAGTTTGTATTGTATGGTATGGTTGGTATTGAAGATTGGTTAGCGTTTCCGTAGAGCCCGGTATTTCGGTATTTTGATGATTTTGTCTACATTTTTGCGGGTAATTCTTTTAAGTTTGATATTTAAATTTTTACTGGGTTCTACCTCCGGTGGCAGAACAAAGTCTATATACGATCACGTTTTCTAACGGATTTGTATAAGATTTGTTATTTGTAGCTTATAATGGGTACTACCACCAGTGTCAGAATATTGTCTATATTGTTCCACGGTTCCATGTGGCTCCTATATAACGGTACCACCCGATTTTCGGTATTTTGATGATTTCCAAGAAATTATTTTTTTTTGGAATTTTCAGCAAAAAATTAACGCTTTCGGTTCATAAATCTGCACACACATTAAATAACTATAATAACTATTCTTCATACACACAGCCCACCACAGTGGGGCTAATTTTTATTATTTATTATTGATCAATTCATATAACTAATTTTCTAAATTCCAACTAATTTTCTAAATTCCAAGACATCTTTCAGATGTCTAAACCATCCTTGTATTTATGTTTATGATATTTTCTATTGATTCCCTCTCTTACCTCTGTGGAAAATGATTTGTCTGCATCCTGTTTTAAATACCGACTTATTTGCTGCAGTTGTTGTGTTCTTTGTACTTCTACTTGAAGTTTGACCGGTTCAATATGGAATATTGGCAATTGCATGTAATAATTACAGAATAATGGGGTTCTTTTCTCCATTCATCTCTTAGACTCAATTCACAAATTCTCTTAACACAATAATAGTTCTCTATTATTCTCTTTACCGTTTTTTGAAGAAGTCAGTTAACACAAATAACCAATATTCGAATTTCGCATAGAATCTCACACGCACAAGGAATTGCCAAGAAAAATAATGCGAAATTGCAGTGAATATAAAATAATCAAAATATTCTTTTTTGGTAAGTGTTCACGTTTTTTTTCAGATGCCAAAAATATGGAAGCGAAAATGTCATACTATCCGGTAAGAGAGTGTGTCAGTGTCAAAATACAACAATATAACAAACATTAATATACTATCAAATGGTTTCATTCAATAACAAAATATTATTTTATATATTTTTATACTTTATAGGTACCTTAAAAATGTCATAGGAAAAAATCAACGAAGTTTTGTTATTCTAAAAATAGCACCTCATTGCTCACTTTGGTAGGTTAAAGTTCGTTCATGACATTGCTAAATTGTCCTTTTTAAAATGCTAAAGTTCATAAAAGTTTTGAAATTCGATCCGTAAATTTGACAAAATACAAAAATAAAGATTTAAAAATATTTTATTTATAGCTCATTTGTATGAAATAAATTTTGATTTAACATTTGGCAAGTTCATTGAACGACGTCATTATGCCAAAAAAAAAAAAAATGGTTGTGTCTCTTTATTTGGCGTCCAATTAAACGAAAATATGGTCATGGCAGCAATGCCAATTTTGCGGAAATAAAAAATCGCAATGTTTTTTGTTATCAGCAAAGAATTAATTAGGCTTGGTGCAAAAATATGACAAAAATGCATTGGATATCATAAAAATGTATGGAATACCGAAGATACCCTAAAATAAAATTAAATATTATTTAAACATTTCAAAAAATTAATAAAAATTCAGAATAATGCAGGAAATCTTAATTTGAATTGATAGTACTATACAATTTAATGTTAGAAGATTATTTCATAAAAATGTTGACTGCGACGGAGCCTCAGATGGTTCATCTCCTTAATCCAAATTTCGCATACACATTTCAACATTTCGGCTGTATAGACATGAGCTTTAATATTGCACCACAAATAGTAGTTTAAAGGCGTCAAAATATAACGATCTAGCCGTTCAATTTACCGGTTAGGAAGAGAAATAAAATGTTCACAAAACTAGCCTTTCAATAAGTCCATGTTACGCGTGCTGTGTGCCATGTGTTAATATCACTAGACATGCTCTTGCATTTTGGGCAAAAAAAGTTACAGTTAGGTTATGATTCGCAGCATCTTTGAAGAAGTACGCTCCAATGATGCCACCAGCCCATAAAAAGCACAAATCTGTGGCTGTGACAATTTGTAATGCTTCTGGCTGATCGTTACTCCAAAATCGACAATTCTGCTTATTTATTTGAGCCAAAAATGAGATCTTAACAGATCATACAATTTGATAATAAAATTCAATGATTCGTTAGCGTTGTTAGTTTTCAAGAAGTTACATTTTTAAATTATAGACCAAAAGAAACAAAAAAAAAAAAAAAGAAAGAGAAAACAAACACTTAAAAAAAAGGTTGAAAAAAAGCTACATAGCGAATATCGGTTGGTACAGTAATATAAGGGCTATACAAAGCGCGTGTCTGTATTGCCAGAGAAGGGATATTGCGAACAAGAAATTCGGATTAAGAGGTAATTTTCTGTCGTGAAAAGTGGTACCTGTTACGAACTCCAAATACAAAAATTTACACAACTACGTCAAAAAATGTAACATAAATAATCAAAATACCGAATAGGTCCAGTTAAATGGGGACTATACGAAAATCTGGAAGATATTTTCGACACACTAGTGAAGATAATTTTTAAAACTAGTGCGTATTATTTAAATATCATATTAAATGGAATATTCAACTCTCAACTTTTCCATTTTCCTTTGAAACGTCTTGCGAATTAATAAAAACAGGGAAAAAAAGCAGTAAGTTCGGCCGGCCCGAACTTTGTATACCCTCCACCATTTGGAACGAATTTGGAAATATTGGGGTCTACACGAAGGCATGGACCTGCATAGCCATTGTTTGTCATAAGCCATTTCCATATTCAAATTAGAAACTTGAAATAAACGGTGGATGATGTAGCTAAAATCTTCTAAATACAGAATATAGGGAGGTACCGTTACGAAAACCTGAACCTGCATAGACAGGCTGTAGCATTCATTATGAACTTCAAATACGACATCTCAAAAAATTTCAGTGAGTTTTGTACCTAAAATCGTCAAAATATCGAAAATAGGGAGCCTATACGAAGACCTGGACCCGCATAGACAATTTTCTGCCACAGACTGTAGATCCCATTACGAACTCTAAATACGTAATTTGAAACTACTGAATAATGATTCTAAAGTCATCAAAATACCGAATATAGGGAGGTACCGTTATATGGGGGCTATACGAAGACCTGGACCTGTATAGACAATTTTCTGGCATAGACTGTAGTTCCCCTTACGAACTCAAAATATGAAATTTGAAACTATAAGGTGGATATGCAATATCGTGGAACTATATACACAATACTCTTCCATGGGGTAAAGTACTCAAAATACCGAATATCGGGGGTACCGTTATATGGGGGCTATACGATATCGTGGACCGATATAGCCCATATTCGAACTTGACCAGCCTGCAGAGGAAATACTGATTTGTGCAAAATTTTGGCTTTCTATCTTTATTCGTTTTGACTCTAGCGTGATTACAATAAACGGACGGACAGGCCAAAATAGTCTTAGAATTTTGCGCTGATCAAGAATATATATACTTTGTTATGTATATTATATATTATTATTTTGGTGGAGGGTATAAAAAACGCTATAATGACAACTCTGTTTATAAGATGTATCTCCTCCAGTGACAACGACGTCCAATAAAACGAAAGGTGCAAACAACCGAATCAAAAGATGACAATGAGAAAATATAGAGTGCGGGGAGCAATGCTCAAATCTCTTCGAAGAACCCCAAAGAGAAAGAGAACAATTTATTGCACAACTAATATAAATAACCAACATTGCGGATAGTTGTTCCCCCTAAGATGAAAAGAGGGGGCAAGGAAATCAACCAACAACTGTAGTTGGCTGGCGAGTGTGTGTAATTGTGTGTGGTGTTTTGGGATAAAGAACCAAAGAACCACAGCGAAAATACCTATTATAAAAAAAGAAAACATTTTCAACTTACCCAAAAAATTCTTAAATTTTTTCAAACAAATTTTGTTTTATTTATTTGTCACTAATTGTTGTAAGTTTTCCAGTTCACTAATTTTATTCAATACTGTTATTAACTGTGTTTCTAGATTTTTGCTACATGGCCTCAATTGGCGACTTTGAATTTTTTTCAAACCGAGTTATGGAAATGAATGAAGAAAATGTGAGAAGAAAATCGACATCTTCCTGGTTGTATCTATGAATCAAAACTGATTTGAAAAAGAAAAACTTGCCGGTTTGGATGCCAAATACAGATACATACACAGGCACAACTGGAGACACACACACACAGAAGCACGCACACACACACAAACGAAACATTCGGAATATCGTATTCAACGAAAATGTTTTTCTGTGCAGCCAGAAAAGAATGTAGAAAAAAATGGGGAAAAGAACCATGAAACTCAACTCAACACAAAACGTTTGCGGAAAAAAGTAACGAAAAGCCCAAATTTTTTCTACTTGCTGTTTTTCTTCTTCTTCTTCTATTACTAGTTTTTTTCTTTCTTCGTGTTACAAATGGGCCGCTGAGACAAATGTTGGTGGCTGTTGGTCTGATCCGTCATCCCAGTACCTAGTCGCTGTTTTCAATTCGATTTGAGTTTGTAATTCATTTCATTACCTCCTCTATTCCGACATTCTGTTTTCATTACTATTTCAATTTGTATCCGGGCTTGTGCTCAAAACAGAGCGAAAATCAGTCAGTCAGTCATTCATATGTTTGTTTTTTTTTTTTTTTCATTTTTGTGTTGCGTTTTAGAATTCGTTCAGTTTTTTTGCCCATGCCGCCGACGAACGTCGTAGCGCAGAGCAGAGTATCGAATGTGAAAGACGAGTATTGAAACGAAAACCTTTTGAAGAGCGTTTGGGCGGACGGTAGATAATAATCATTGTAGATAAAGATAAATAGATAGATATGTAAGCACGTGCGTACGAATATGGGTGATTTCATTTGACTGTGGCTGTTAAGACAACCTACAGCCATACAGAGGTGGCAATTTTTCAAAAATTAAAAAAATAATATTGGAACATTTTTAAGATCTATGGGAAAGTTTTCGATAGAAAAATTCATGAAATCTTTCAAATGCGTCTCAAATGGACCATCCGCTTTGATAAAAGCCTTCCAACATTGCAGCCGATATCTCACGGATAAGTAATGCGAAGCTGTTTTCCAATGGGTCGATTGGAATCGGACTCATCTTTATAGACATGAGTGTTAACATAGCCCCATAAAAGTAGTCTGAAGGCGATAAATCCCACGATCTCGGCGCCCAATTGATGCTAGCCCTCACTATTCACAGTTATGTTACGTTTCATAGCATCTTTGAAGAGATACGGTCCAAACATACCACCAGCCTATAAACATCAATATTGCGAGCTTTTTTGCTTTTTATACCCTCCACCATACATAATATGGAGGGTATGTTAAGTTCGTCATTCCGTTTGTAACTCATCGAAATAATAATTTTAGACATAACAAAGTATATATATTCTTCATCAGCGTAAAATTCTAAGACGATTTTGCCTTGTCCGTCCGTCTGTTGTAATCACGCTACAGTCAAAACGAATTAAGATAGGAAGCTGACAGATCAGTCTTTTTTGTGCAGGCAGATCAAGTTCGAGATGGGGTATATCGGTCCAATATGTGTATCCCCCATATAACGGTACCTTCTGATATTCGGTATTTTTTCATGATTTTAGCCACATTTTTCGATGGAATTTTCTGAAAAACAACTCAATGAGTTTCTTCTGAATAATTTGCCCCCTTGGAACAAAATTGTCTATATGGGTCCGCGATATTGTATATTCCCCATATAACGAAACCTCCCGAAGTTCGGTATTTTGATGATTGTAGCTACATTTTTCAATCGAATTGTCTGAAAATACACACAAAGAAAAGAATTGTCTATACAGATCCATGATATCGTATATGACACATATAAAGGTACCCCGTTATTAAGCATTTTGATGACTTTAGCGACATTTTTGGAGTAGTTTCAAATTTCGTAATTAAATTTTAATGCTCTAATGAGTACTACAACCTATGACGGAAAATTGTCTATGCAGGTCCACGTCTTCGTATAGCCCACATATAACGGTATCTCCCTTTATTTGGTATTTTGAAGATATTAGCAACATTATTTACCGGAATTGTTTCAAGTTTCATATTTGAAGTTCGGAATCGGTACTATAGCCTATGACAAAAAATTACTTATGCAGGTCCTCGGCTTCGTATAGCCCCCATAAAACGATTTTCATTTAAGTGCTGTTTAGGACGGATTTTTTTGAAATTTTTGAAGATCCTTCAAAATGGTGAAGTATATTCAAAGTTCCACCCGGTCGAACTTAGCTTATTTTTTACTTTTTTACTTACCAATTGAGACAAAACTGAGCTTCGTCGCTGACCACAAGTAGCGCTCGATAAACTTTCTTACACATAACTGTGCAGCTTATATATTTTAAGGTATATCGTTCCGTTTAAGTTAAGCTGTTGAGCGCATAAAAATGTGAAAAAAATCACTTTTGATATAACTCTAACACGATGTGGAAACTGGCTTTTAATTTCATTGATTTCATACCAATTCTCAATTTATAGTTGACTGCTGAAGGTACATTGTGGTATCTAGCTTTTACATTTTATGTTTAGTGACATGTTAAGTATTTGACCATGGTATAAATAAGGAGGCAAATTCATTTCAAATAAACATTTCCATCTCTGAATCTTTTGTAATTTTTCCTGTCAAATTAAATATACATATTGCAAAAATAAGATGTCAAATGAATAATTTTGAACAAAAGTCTAGTATATAGGCTAGTATACACATAATGTTAGAGTCATATGTAAAACTACCTTTTCTAAGCTAAGCATGTTTTCAACTTACTTTAAGGCGCTTCAAAAGTTTTATATACGAATATTTTGTGATTTTTAATAAAAATAAAACGAATTCAATAACATAAAAATCGTATATATATATATATATATATATATATATATATATATATATATATATATATATATATATATATATATATATATATATATATATATATATATATATATATATATATATATATATATATATATATATATACATATATATATACGATTTTTATGTTATTGAATTCGTTTTATTTTTATTTTTATATATATATATATATAAATATACCCGAACCTCAACCGATTTCAATATAATTTGGTAAAATTTTTTTTGGTACTACATCTCGCCTCTGTGTCCTCATTTCATTGGAAATGCATATCGCGTTGGGTGCATCAAATATGTAGAATCGGCCGAAAATATATATGACAGCTATATCCAAATCTGAACCGATTTCAATATAATAATTTAATTTCAATAGAATATGTAATGTATGTTCGTTTTAAATTCCGTTACGCATTCCAAATTTGAAGACTATATCTGTAATCGATCAATAGATATTTGCATATAAAATCTAAATTTTTGTGGGAGGTACCTGCGATTCTGATGTAATATCTCCAGTTTCAAGTGGAATTTCAAAAATTTATATAGCCTTTGTTATTTTCAGGCAATGTTGTAGTATAATTGGAAATTTTCAGAAAGTCAGTGCAGTGGTTTCGAGTCCATAAATTACAAACATACATACATTTTCCACTTTTATAGAGATAGATTCCGTCACACACTTCATTGAAATTTGACATACGAGTTTGCGGACTCCAAGGCAACATTTCAGCTGTTCCTCATTTAGTACCATTTAGTGCACATTTCCAAACCAACCTTATATATAGCATTTTCAGATTAAATGAAACCTTTTGCAATTCAAATGAAACTTTTTGCAGCGGAAATGAAACCTTTTGCAGTGGAATTGAAACCTTTTGCAGTGGAAATGAAACCTTTTGCAGTGGAAATGAAACCGTTTGCAGCGGAAATGAAACCTTTTGCAACCGAAATGAAACCATTTGCAACCGAAATGAAACTTTTTGCAAATCAAATGAAACTTTTAAATTATTAGAAAGAAAAATAACAAAATATTTTTATTTTTAGTAGTTTTTAAATGAAATCAATTAATAATTAATAATAATATAACTAATATATTGACAAAGAGGATTTTTTATTTATTATATATATCTACATTTATTTATATTATTTCTTAAATTTTCAATTATTGTAGTAACAAATGGTTCTTTATTGATTTGATATAAAATGCTTCCATATTATTAAATTCCAAATGCTTAACGCTAAAAAGAGAAATTTAAACAAATTTTGCCCTTTATAGGTATGGCCAGGACTGAAATGTGAAATTAAGCTTTACCACAATTTTTTATAGTTATAGTATACTATTAATCTTACCTAATAAAGGATTCCCGCTTCGCAGCTTTATTGATTATGGAGATAGAGCAGTCGTGATTTCAAAAGACAGATAAGTGGAAATCATTAAATCAACTATGATCATGATTGTATATAATTTATGGGGTCTACGACGAATATTTATAGGTGTTACAAACCGAATGACAAATTTAATATATCCTCCTTTCCATGGAGGAGATTATAAAAATATACCTAATTCGGGTCCTTTGAAAAAAATACCTTGAAAAACTTTTTTCAATCTTTCTGCATCTACACTTGTGTATTATGAAAGCTTTAAGAAAAAATTTTATAAAAACATAAATATTAATAATCAATAAAAATTCCTCTTTAACTATATATTAGTTATAATTAGTTAATTTAATTTTAAACGTACTAAAAATAAAAATGTTTTGTTATTTTTCCTTCTAAAAATCTAAAAGTTTCATTTGATTTGCAAAAAGTTTCATTTCGGTTGTAAAAGGTTTCATTTCGGTTGCAAAAGGTTTCATTCCCGCTGCAAACGGTTTCATTTCCACTGCAAAAGGTTTCATTTCCACTGCAAAAGGTTTCAATTCCACTGCAAAAGGTTTCATTCCCGCTGCAAAAAGTTTCATTTGAATTGCAAAAGGTTTCATTTAATCTGAAAATGCTATATCAAACTTATCTCAATTCTCACACAAATTTTCAGGTTGTTAGCTTTATCCGTTCCATAGAATAGCATCTCTATTGGTTCAAAATTTTACCAAATTTAGTACTATTTAGTACACTTAAGAACAAACTTTCTTAACTAACTACATCAGACACTTTAATAATATTCTTATTTTCAAATTTCAGGATTCCATTTCTACCGGTTCACCCTAAAATTAAATTGTACCAAATTTTAGTACACATAAGTACGAGTTTTCAAAACTACCTACATAACTCGGTCCTAAAATGAGATTCGAAATTTCAGGATTCAAACCCTATTGGTTTTCCCAACATTTAAATTGTACCAAATTTAGTACCATTTGGTACACATAAATATGAATTTCCAAAACTACCCACATTTCTCAATTCCAGATACCAACAGAGACCTCAATATCAAATTTGAGGATACCTGACCCAATACCAAATTTAGTACCATTTGATACATTTCGTACAAATATGGGAGGCATTTTAAAACCACCGCCAAATTCCAAACACATATAACATCAGTAACATAAATATCTAATTTCAGAATGTTATCTCTATCTCTTCACTCTTCAAATACTGAAACCACCACGAACAACGGCCCTAATACCAAATTTCA